TGGTGGGCAGCACCCGTAAGCAACCCGAGCCACCCGAGCTCCGCGCCTTCGGGGCTTTGGCTGCACAGCCCAGCAGCTGGGGAGGGCATTGCGGGGTGGGGGTGAGGGTGGGGAAGATGCAGAGGGTGCTGGGAGCAAGGCCCACCTAACTCCCAAGCCCAGCCCCTTCCTCTTAGCCCCTCCCCCAAGGCCCAAGGCCTGGCACTGGATTGCTGCAGGGACCCACCAGCTGCCTCTCAGGGGCTCCTGCTGCTCAGAGCCTCCCTTCCCCGTGTCCTCCGATTCACAGGGATCTGGCTGCCAGGCGGCTGTCCGTAGGGCCTTGATGCCATTGTGAGAGGCTGCGGTCCAGTGCTTGGGGGTGCGGCCTCCAGCCAGGGTTGAAATTCTGCCTCAGGTGCTCCCTAGCTGTGTGGCCTGGGAGTTTCCTCACCAGGAAAATGGGGAGCCAGTGTACCTGCTGGCAGAGCTGTCGTCTCCGCACCCTATAGGCCCCCAGAGCATGAGGAGGAAACAACACCTAGGAGGAGGGACCTGGGCTCCCGTGGGCGCGCTGACTGGGGCCCTGCCTCTCCCAGGGACTCTTCGTGCAGCTGGTACAGGTCAACACTCCTGCATCCCTTGTGGGGCTGCGCTTTGGGGACCAGATCCTGCAGATTGACGGGCGCGACTGTGCCGGGTGGAGCACAGACAGAGCGCACCGGGCAGTGAAGAGGGCTTCAGCAGAGAAGATCGTCATGGTTGTTCGGGACCGGTGAGTGCCGGCGGCGGGAGCTCCTCTGTCCGCCTGCAGCCCGACCCGAGCCCAGCTCACTGTCCCTCTCCGCAGGCCTTTCCAGCGGACGGTCACCATGCACAGGGACAGCACCGGCCACGTGGGCTTCGTCATCAAGAAGGGGAAGGTGGTCTCTATAGTCAAAGGGAGTTCTGCGGCCCGCAATGGGCTCCTCACCAACCACTACGTGTGTGAAGTGAATGGGCAGAATGTCATCGGGCTGAAGGTAGGCCAGCGGCCGGCTCTGCCCCAGAGCTGCAGGGGCAGGAGGCTGCTGGGTGGTGGGAGGGCCCATGTCTGTGGGCACCATCCGAGCTTGTTTCTTCATCCTAAGGTTGCTTCGAGGAGTCGATAAGACAGTCAGTACATAGAACTTTGGGCACATGGTCAGTGCTCAATAAATATTAGCTATTGATACTAACACATGGAGGTCAAAGGAGTGACAGAAAGAGGGGGTGTGGTGACATGTGAAAGGCCACAGGTGCCCAGGTGGCTACGGGCTGCATGAATACCTTCCTACTTGTGTGGTACTTCTGTTTGCATCCCAGATCACGTGACAGGAATGTTTCTGAAAACAGTTCTTCAGAAATCCATTTCTGACCTCTGTTCACTTTTTGAGGGAATGTGTGTAGCGACTTTTATTTTATTTTATTTTTTTAAAATATATTTTATTGATTTTTTACAGGGAGGAAGAGAGAGGGATAGAGAGTTAGAAACATGGATGAGAGAGAAACATCGATCAGCTGCCTCTTGCACACCTCCTACTGGGGATGTGCCTGCAAGCAAGGTATATGCCCTTAGCCGGAATCGAACCTGGGACCTTTCAGTCCACAGGCCGATGCTCTATCCACTGAGCCAAACCGGTCAGGGCGTGACTTTTATTTTTGAAAAATATAAGTGGTCTCGAGTCAGTGCTAGGGTCATGGACTGAAGGTGGGTGCCTTCAGGGAATGGACCACAGAGGATGCCGAGTCACATGGCTTTTGGTCCCTGAACAAGTGAAAGTAATGTTATCCTAACCTGATGCTGCTCCCTGGGTAAGAGTGGTTCTCATCGCAGGTGTGATTTAGATGAGGCCCTTCCCCTCCTGCAGCCAGGGCTCTGGGCTCACAAGGCAGGTCCCCCTGCAGAATGGCCTGGGTGGTGGCATTCATTCTCCGCCCCTCACAAGGGCCATCACCAAGCCTTTCCTGTCACATCTGCTTCCCTGTGCCTGGTAGTCTCCCCGGCTTTCCCTGGAGGCAGGTTCTGGTAGCTCACTGTGATCAGGAAGTGCTTCCTAATGTCTGTCCTAGGTCCTTCCTGCTGCATCTCTGCCCTCAGGGATCAGGTGTGACAATCAGAAGGGAACCCCCATACCTGAAAAGCTGGCACACTGGTACCAATTCTGAGTAGCCGGCTCTTTCGGATATGAATGAATCTGTCCTTTGAGAGCATTATCGCTCATGGATCCTAACTGAGAGCAGTCGTTCTACAGGTGCTGCCGGTCCTCTCCTTTCGGACGGCTCACGGCTGCGTTACGGGCTTACCCGTTACCCTGCCAGCCACCGCGTGTGAGGCTCTTAGGACTGGGCTGGCCCCTTCACAAGTGGCCACAGAGAGCTATGCTGCTTGAGATGATCTCTCCACAGTTCATCTGCTTTCACTCTGGCCATCACTAGTCCTATCCAGCACGTCTTCTCCCCTTTATCCTGGAACAACCAGACAACAGAAACCAAGCTAGAGTGAAGTCAAGGCCTCTAGTCTCTGGACGGGCCAGGGCTCTGCTGCCATGGCTCTAGCTGTTGGGCTGCTTGGCACACTTTGCACGGAGACTTTATGTGTTGTGTCCCCAGGATCTCATCGGCTTCTGCAGGCCTTTCCTCTTCACTGAGTGAGATGTACGAGGAAGCGGCCCCTGTGGGCAGCTCAGGCTGGCTGGCCAGCGGGCCCGGCGGGGGTGGCGCACCTAATGTCCCCCACGGCATGGCTGTTTTCTTCCTGCTTTGGGGCCAGAACCTGGCCGGGCCCAGGGAGATGGGATAGGAGATGTGGCTGGTGAGATTCGGGGCCTCTGTGGGTGAGGGAAGGAGCGTAGTTCTGTTTGTAGGCCCTGCTCCGTCAGGCCCAGGTGACTGGCCCTCGAGGCGAGGGTGGGGAGTGGCCCATTCACAGAGGGGAGCCTCAGGGGAGGTCCACGTTCTCGGTCAAGCAGGGCCTCACCAGGTGTCTGCCTGCGACTCTCCCCTGAGGGCAGCCCTACCCCTGAAGTCAGGTGCCAGTGGCTCCCTAGCAGAGGCCACGCTGACCCATCCATAGCGTGGCCTGCAGTTACCCCTGGCCCCGGGGTGACCGCTCGCTTGCTCGCCTCCTCTCTAGGACAAAGAGGTCACGGAGATTCTGGCCACGGCCGGGAGCGTCATCACCCTGACCATCATCCCCACCGTGATCTACGAGCACATGGTCAAAAAGTAAGGCTCTCCCTCGCTTCTTCCCTCACCGCCCCACTCCCCTCTGCCCTGCCAGCTGCCCCCCCCCCGCGTGGCTGGTGGCTTCTGGTGATTTGGAAATCTTAGAGATAAAAGTGGAGGCCCACGTGGGAGGCACAGGCCGTGGGGACGGAGGGAAGGCACTGCCCGTGTGGCCACTGTCGTCGTTGCTGTATCTAGGTTGTCCCCGACCCTGCTCCGCCACACCATGGACCACTCCGTCCCGGATGTCTGACGTCACGGGCAGCTCGCCCTCCCTCCTCCTGCAGGAACGCAGAGGCCTCAGGAGACCTGCTGCCTGGAGCCGGATGTCCTGACAGGGTGCGCTCGGCGGGTGTGTGTGTGTGTGTGAGTGTGTGTGTGTGTGTGAGTGTGTGTGTGTGTGTGTGAGTGAGTGTGTGTGAGTGTGTGTGTGACCGCAGAGCACATCATCTTCATGTGGAGCTCAGCCTCCTCGGAGCCTGACGCTTGCCTGGACCACGGCGCCCAGGGCCACAGGCAGCGGCTTGCGCGGGTTTCAGTGTCGCGGCAGCCGGCTCAGGGCCTCGGGAAGGTGCAGCGGGGTCCCTTTCGGGACGTTACCTCTACCAGAAGGACAGTCCACATTGAGAGAACAGAAGCACATTCCTTGTGAGAATTTTTCCCTTTACTTGATCTTTGACACACACTGTACATGGGTATAACTCCTCACTTATCTTTTGAATAAAGCTTTGATTTTAAATAAAATTCCTTCTTCCAAAGTCATTGAAAAGTCCAGAATTTCAGTCCCAGGACATGCCAGGCTGGTTTTCTTTCAAGCAATTGTGAGACCAAGGCCTTGCCTATGCATTGCCTCTGAGAGCCGTTAGTGCTCTGACCCGTCGCAGGCTGCCTGCCGTCGGAGGAGGGACGGCTAGTGGGGGGCCGCGTGGATCCTGGAAGAGGGGACCAGCTTTGGACACCCCTCTCTCCGGCCAGGCTGCTGTGCACGTGCAGAATGGGCGTGAGAACTAGTGAGGGGAGGAGGAATGGATGCACTCAGGGTCTGACATCGAGGGAGGTGCTTCTAGATGCTTTGTCTCCGCCACCCCGATGAGGGGCGGGGCCCAGCTGCCCACGCAGCTGCACAGTGGTGCCGAACCACCCGCAAGCTCGTGTTCCCCTGACCTGGAGAAGACCCCTGCCAGGGGGCACGCTCTGCCTCCCACTCGGGTGGGGACAGCTTGAGCCCCCTTCACCCCCCACCTCAGAAAAAAGACGACATCAAGAAACAGGCCGAGGGTCTCGTGTGTTTTCATGCTTTAATTCAGAGTCATCTGCTGCAGGTACGACTCTGTCTGAACAAAAGGACAAAGGAGACCAAAGTGAATGCCCCTCCCCACCTCCCCCCTTCCCGGGCCCCTGAATTCTGTCAAGGGGATGGCCGAGTGTGAGTGTGCACTGTGACTGGGGTGCACTGTGCCCCCAGGTCAGAGAGGGGATCATGAGGTCACTGGGCAAAGGCCCCTCCGTAGACCTTTGCCCCAGAACCTTGTCCTTTGCCCGCCCCTCCCCAAGGCTGTCAGCTACCTGTGCTGCTGCCGGCGAGCTGTGCGAGTGGCGATTGGGAAGGTGTTCAGTGAAGAGCTAAGTCATCCCCTTGGGAGACAGGCAGTAAACTCCGCCCGGGCCAGCTCTGTGTGCAGAGTCCTGGCCCGACTCTGATTCCGGCCTGAGCCTGGACCAGAGGAGCAGCAGGGCCGCTCTGGCCCGGACCCTACAATGAAGAAGCCACTTTTCCCCGCTGGGCTCCACGGGGCCAGCGTTTCCAGAAAGTAACTCCTGGAAACACTGTCCCGTAGGACCTAACCATCCGCTCTGGCAGAGGCTGGCGAAAGGGGGGGCCCACGGATTTCTGCTCCAGAAGCGGAGGGCAGGCGGGAAAGGTCACAGCCCAACGGGAGGAGGCGTTAAGCAGACACGTGCAGAATGAGCACTCAACAGCCCCACATTCTGTGCCCTGCATGGTCAGGGGGACAGGCCCCACCTCCACCGCCTGCAGCCGCACAGGGAGCGCTGCACCTTTTGCATAGATGCGGACAATGAGCACACACACGCATACACGCAGGAGCCCTGCGGGGCCACTGACCAACAGGGTCCCAGGGTCTGTCTCAGGGCTGCCGGTATGCCACCTCCTCCACTAACACAAAGAAACGCCCGTCCGAGGCCCCACCAGACCCCTCCCTCCCAAGAGAGAGGACCCTCAATGCTGAAAGCAGGGCCCCTGGGACCCAGACAGGCAAGTCTCAGGCCAGAGGAGGCACAGAGGGTGGCGGCTGGACCCACTCACCTCACCCAGAGGCCTTGGGTCCGAGCCCGGCCAGCCCTTCACCAGTGGCTTCTCTGGCAGCAGACCACATCCACCAAAACAAGACACAACAGGAAGGCCACAGACAGCAAGACACGGACAAGAGCAGAGGGGCTATGCAGCGCCACTCAATTCCAGTGGTGAAAAATATATAGATTTTATGTTGTCAAATAGAGTCATATGTTTATTTCCTCAGCAAAGCTTTGCCTGTTTCTAAGGAGACACTATGCGGCCCGTGAGTACACGGCTCAGGAGGCTGGGTCCCAGCCCGTCCCGGCTTGGCTTTGGATTGGGCTTGTCCTGCCCCCATGCCACGGCCCCAGCGTCCCTGGGCAGCCCTGGCCAGGCCCCAGGAGCTCGGGTTCAGTTCGGCTGGGGTGGGAGGTGCTCCACAAAGGAAGGCTGGCCTGAGGCCCAGACCGAGGAGGGGGAGCTTTGGAGGCACAAAGCGCGTGGCAGAGGGGGCTGTTGCCCCAATGGCTGGGCCGGCTGCCCACTCCCAGTGCATGCAGGCGCTGCCCCCCCTGAGGGGAGGGCGCAGAAAGGAAGGGCAGAGCCCGTGAGTCAGGCAACGGCTTCCGGAGCAGCAGGGGTGGGCAAGCAACCTTGGCAGAGAACCAGAGTGTCCCATAGGCCAGGGGGGTGAGTAGGACACAGGGTCCCACCAACTCCCTCAAGTGTGGGGCCTAACTCTGAAGAGTGGGTGGGACAACCAGATGGGTGTAAGCCCTGAAGGGAAAAAGGACCGGGTTTATGCTGTAAAATAATCTATATATATATATATATATATAAAAGGCTAAGTGACCATCCGACCGTCTGACCAGTAGCTATGACGCGCACTGACCACCGGGGGCCGACGCTCAATGCAGGAGCTGCTGAGCTGCGGTGACTTGGCAGCAGTGGTTCTCGGGTGATGCACCCTGGAACCAGAGAGGAGGGAGCCCGATTCCGGGGTGCATCACCCGAGAACTGCCCTCTCGCAATCCGGGACCCCTCGGGGAATGTGAGAGAGCCAGTGTTGCCTGATCCCCGCAGGCCAGGCCGAGGGACCCCACCTGCCAGAGGGGCCCCGCTCACTCCGCAGATGCCTTTGAGCCCCAGCGCTGCCCCAGGTGTGACCAGCCGGGGAGGGACCACGGGAGGTTGGCTCCAGGGTGTGTCTGGCCTGTCTCGCCCAGTCCCGCCCCGCCAGCCACCTTCTAATTAATTTCCCTTCAATGTGCAGGAATCCGTGTACCGGGGCACTAGTAATGGTAATAAAAGGTCAGCAGCGTTTCTGGGGGCCCTGATGTGGTCCTGGGGATGGAAGGAGGACAGTGAGCCTTCCCAGGCTGGGAGCAGGGTGTCTGCAGGCTCCCCCTCACCCCACCCCACGAACACCCAGGGCACCTGCTTTGGCTTGGACGACAACATGGCTTCAGTTCTGCCTTGCCATTCACCCTGCAGTAATTCCTCCTGAGGCACATGAGTCTAAGATCCGGGAACCCTCACCCTAGACAGTAAGCAGCCCCCTTTCAGGAGGTCCGGATATATGAGAACCAAGCCCCCGAGTGAGCACAGTGCAAAGCAGAAGTTGGGCCTGAGGCCCCAGAGAAAGTCGGGGTGCGCTCCAGGGCCGTCATGGCCTTGGCTGTCCACACCAGCTGAGGGCTGCTGAGTGCAGCCCGGCCTCCCAGACCACAGGGCCTCATCTCAGGCCGGAGGGGCCCGAGCTGCCAGCCCGCCTCCTCTCCTCGTGCCGGCACTCTGGAAGGGAGCATTCCTCCCCAGCACCGAGCCGTCTGGCTTAGGTCTCACAGGAAGAATTATCTGATGCCCAGACGTGTCAGGAGGAAAGTGGACCGTAGGGAAGGTCTGGGGCTGACAGATGCAGAACCCACACTGCCCTCTGCCCCTCTTGCCCATCTCCACCTTTCACCCAAGTGTGGAGCAGTCTGAGGGGCTGGGGCTCCAGCCAGGCCCGGCAGTTCAGGCTCTGCTCGGAGTCCTGGGTCAGGAGCCTGCACTTTGGGTCGCAGCTGCCTGCACCTGAGGAGATAATACTGGTCCAGACGCCGGGCTGAGGGCAGGGGTGATGTGGAGTGATCAGGGAACTGAACGGGATGTGGCGGGTGGAGGATGGGGAGACTGAAGTGGGCAACTGAGGTCCAGCCTCTCCAGCTCAGTACACCAGAGACTTCCTGAGCAGGGGCCGCCCTTGTGAAGGGCCGAGCGGAGGGGCCGGGGTGAGGACTCCCCTGCACTCGGTCCTACAGCGTGCCTCCCTGCCTTTGGTCTCTCTTCCCTTCTCTCCTGTCCAAGCTCCGGCTCCCAGCCCCCACACTGTTAATATCCAGAAAACACCACTTCCGAACCCAGAACTAAGTAAGATGATGCCCCACGGGGATGTGCGAGAGGGAGGACGGCACCCCTACCATCAGTGG